TATATATGAAATTTCAGACCGTAATTTATTGTTTCTAAGACACTTTTAATAGATGTAGTTATAATCAATAACAGCTCTTCACAGGAATCCTCAAATATTTTGATATTATTTCTAAAATGGCAACTTGGATACTTGATCTTCTCAAAAATATTACTTGAGTGCTAAATTTTGTAATTAGTAATGTTTGGGGGTGTTATGTATGTAATTATCTCTAATTAAAGGTATGTTTACATGCATAACACATCAAATATTGTTTTCTTACAAATTTAGCACCCTCTTTCATCCCTTTCGATCCAATGAAGATAAACCATTTCCACCATTATGCATGAAGGTTTAGAAAGGGCATTAATAACAACCTATATTTTTCATTTTTATCAAATTCTCAATGGTTCGATCGGCACAAATGTAAAGATCAGCAGTTCAAAAATATCACATAAATAATTGATTTTGTCAATTTAAGGCAAAAAGTTCAAGAAACATAAATCCTTTGGTTATCAACAAAGAAATAAAATGTAACAAATTTATTCAAATGTACCATCATATTAACATCTATCTTGTATTATAATTCATGACAAATAGGGATGCAAGTTAAGAATAAAAAGGAAATGACTTGATGTAAAAATATATGAAATATTTTAAATAATCTCATACTTAAAATTATTAAATTTAAATACATTTTATATTATTTATTTATTCTTTTATTTGAAAGAGCTAGCTCTTAAATTGTTGGTCCAACGAGTTATTTATTGAGTTAAAGTCAAATCACTTCGCAAGTAGTAAAAAAAATGCATCAAGAATTTTGATGTAAAATTATATCAGGACTCCGTTAAAATTATGCCACTTGTACGCAAATGACCAACTTAATACAAAAAAAAAAACTCAAAGCATGAGATCTCGTGACGCAACTGTATCAAAACTCGTGATGTAATATATTTTTCACAAGCAGGTTATTCACACCTACGTGAGAATACTACTAATGTAGTAATACACGGAAAAAAAATAAAAACATACATTAAACTTTAAACATACGTAACATTTTATCCACACCTACAAGCCCTAATAAATGAAAAAACATATTACGTCCCCACATCCAAACGGTCAACTATCAGGCGCCACATCGCCCGACACCAACGTGTATGGGCCATATAGCGATCGGCGATTGGTCGATTGGCCGTCCAGACATACGGTGTAAAATTTCCTCCTAATAAACAAAATGTAAAGAATATAAGCCAAAGACACAGTAGTGATCTGATAATACCTACCGCAGTAACCCAAAACCCTAATTCAAGCCCTCTGCTGCACCACAAGAATAAAAAAGTCCGACTCAAAATCAGCCGAGGCGATCATGTCGCCGACGACCCCCAGCTCCGGAAACTCGCTCCACTCCTCCAACTCATCATTCAGTATTGAGTTCCATGAAAGCCGCCGACCGACCATTACGAGATCGTAACCCGCGTGGCTGAAGTTTCGTATGGCCGCAATCGTCTGCTCCATGTCGCTCACGGAAACCTCATTCATCAGTACCCGCAGGTTGCCGCTGTTTTCCTTTCTGAAATCCTCTATTAAGTCGCCGTCCATCTGCGCCTCCCTTTCGGTCGATGCCGCGGAGCGCCATGGAAGGAACCTGGTGACATTTAGGGTTACGCCTTCGTTGCGCACCATGCGAGCCGCATAGGAGAGAGCCTCGCGGTCGTCGGGACCTCCCCAGAAGAGTAGTCCGACGTGATGCCGAGAGTTCGGCGGCGTCGAAACCGCTGTGACGGTTAAGCCCATGTGCACCAGAAGCCCCACCGAGCACGGCGCCTGCAAATCAACCATTACAAACTCGCTTATTTACACCACCATATACGATTCAACTATATATATGATAATTGATAAGAGTCACCTTGGAGAGGATGTGGGGAATGTTGCTCCGGAAGGCGTGGTCCTGATCCCTGAACCCACCGGTGGCATCACTGCGGGGCAAGGGGAGGATGATGATGGCGACGCTTTTATCAGCTGCGAGGGAGCAGATGTCCTGATGCATGGCCTTGAGAGGTGCGATGGCCGTGAAGGGCTGGACAGCGACGATCCCCTTCTTCTCCTGCTCATAGTTGATGAATGCGTTGTGCAGCCGGTCCATTTTGCTGGGATTGATGAACCCCTTCTTGTTCCTATGGGCAATGACGGTGGAGCTAGCCCTGCCCGTCAGCTCCACCAGGTGGAGAACGTAGACGCACATAGGAGTCTCTTGTGCCGGACATGAGGCTTCAAAGAGGCCCAATGTGCTGGGGATGTGGTCTTCGTTGAGCAGACAAGCTAAGACTCGCAGCTCTGCGTTAGGTCGAAGGTGTTGGATGCCTCGCCGGCCGACGAGCTCATCATGGCCGAGGGGGTTGTAGAGACGCTTCACCAACGGAGTCGCGACGGAGGTGATGAAGACGATGGCGAATACCAGTAATGTGTAGCTCTCCTCTTCCAGCAGCTGCGCGCCAATTAGTTAAATTTAGCTACTTAGAGGTGCTCTGTGGCAACAGATGAGATTCAAGGTATTATGATTTAGTAACTCCCATGAATTTGAGTTTACTGAACTTTGAAAGGTTAAATCTTAAAGTTTGTCTGAGAATGAATTTACTAAATCTTGTAAATTCAATAGAGTTATCTGGCAATTCCAGTAAAAATTTAAGAAGTTGTTATGGTTGTTGGCGAAGTTAAATCCCAAACACCACGAAGTTAATTCCACCGGTTCATGGGATTTAAGATTTACAGCGGAAATCACTAGAATTCAGATTTACAGTATCCAGTAGGTCTCTCAAAAAAGCTCTCGTGTTCGTGTTGTTCTTTAAGCAACTCGTGTTCTGCTTGTTCTTTAAGCAGCTCATGTTCTGTTTGTTCGTTAAGTAGCTCATATTTGGCTTCTTCGTTAAGTGAATGAGCCGAACACAAACAAATCAACAATTTGTTTACTCATGTTGGGCTCTTTTTAGCTCACTATAAAGAAATTAAATATATAATTTATATAATACCATGTTATATATTTATATCTAAATTTAAATAATAACAACTCGTATGACCTATGATTCTAAGTCTTCTATTGCACAGAATTGGTGCAGGTTCATATCTAACATCCCACATCTATTTTTTTTTTCAATTAATTCTAAGGAGCCAAATTCTAGCCGAACACAAACAAGAAAATTTAATTCAAGTCGGCACGAACACACTGTTCACCTGCCGATTTCAAACACGAGCAATTTCAAATGAGTCGAACACAAGCCAAGCCTGAACTCGCTCAAGCTCAGCTCATTTATACCCAGAGAATTCTGCCTAAATCCATTCGCAGACAGCCCTGAATGATGATGAAGATGATGAGAGAAGAAAAAAAGAAGATTAAAAAATAAAAACTTACAGTCCCATTCTTGAAATTCATGTAAGTAATCAAGTCCAGAACCCCCTGAAAATTCATAATAAGCCCCAACAAGAAGGCCTTCCGCAGCGAAAACCCGCAGTACATCGCCGGCCCCATGGTGGCCAGCAACTTGGACAGCCACGCCACCACCACCATCACAATCAGCACCCTCCACGCCTTCAAATGCAGCACCACCCCCGGCGAAATCACCGATCCCGCCACTGTATACAGCAGCGGCATCAACACCTCCCCCGCCACATTCCCAATCCTGTCCACCAAATCCCTCCCCAGCGGCGGCCCGTCCGGCACCACTGTCTTCCATGACTGA